CTCCGCCCTGAGGGGCCCCCCCACGGCAGCTCCCTCCCCCTGGGGAGCCGTGCGGCAGCTCCCCACCCCCCCTCCGCCCTGAGGGGCCCCCCCACGGCAGCTCCCTCCCCCTGGGGAGCCGTGCGGCAGCTCCCCACCCCAGCTCACCTCTGCCCCCCCTCCTCCCCGAGCACGCCGCCACCGCTCTAATTCTCTTCCCCTCCCAGGCTTGTGGTGCCAAACAGCTGACTGGCGCCGCAAGCCTGGGAGGCGGGAGAAGTGGAGCGGCCACTGCGTTGGGAGAGGGAGTCTGAGCCGCATGTGTCAGCGCACCACCAGCAGCCCAGCCCAGAAACACTGTAAAAAAAAATGGGGGGCACCGCTTTTGGGCGCCCCCAAATCTTGGCGCCCTAGGCAACCGCCTAGTTTGCCTTAATGGTAGCACCAGCCCTGGGGGGGGAGTAGCCCCTCCTGGCAGCATCCAGCTGTTGCTCCTGGCTGCCTTGGTGTTCCCTGGTACCACCAGCAGGGGATCAGCAGCCTGCACCACACAGCCTCCTGGGGGCTCTGGGCAGCACCTCTACAGACACATGGGGTCAGTGTACGTGCGCTCAGCCGACTTTGGGCTTCAGCCTGGGGCGGCGGGGCTCGGGTTTGGAAAAATTTTCAGAGCGGCCACCAGCAAGGGTTGGTGGCCACACTCTGAAGCTACCAAAAAAATTGTTCTGAGAACCCCTGTACTAGGCTATAGAGAATCGGTCTAGATGTCTCTCATATTTTGTGGTCTCCGTTTTGTTCCACATGAAAATGAAACCAAATTTTGAAACCTCAGAATGTTTCATGGAATGGAATTGTTGTTTGCCTGCCAGATGTAGTTCTATGCCTATGAAATCCAGTTCCACCTGACCCCAAAATTAAATCTCTAGCTGTGTATGTGTATGATCCTAGTGATGTGAGCATGTGGGTAGCTACATAGCACAGTTACTTATACATTTCAAACACTCTCTGCTACCTCTTGCATTCTGTTCAGCATCCAACATCCAAACACTACTGAAAAGAGGTGAAACATGGTAAGTCTCCAAATCTCTTGCGAACTACCAAAGGACATCCTGAGATGTGACTCCACTGAGTGGCAAGACTGTGTGATAGAGCCTAAATGTTAGAACATGTCGCCACTGTGTACATACCCATAAAGACAATACAGTGAGTATTTCACTTTTCATTGGATTCATGAATTAATTTCATGAAATAAAGCTAAATTAAAAGAACTGAGGCCTAACTCTAATGTATGTAAGTTCCCTTCTGAATCAGGGCCTCAATGATCAACTTTGAACCCTGAATCATATAGTTATAGAATTGTAGGACTGGAAGGGACCTCGAAAGGTCATCTAGTCCAATCCCCTGTACTCAAGGCAGGACTACATAATAACTAGACCATTCCTGACAGGTTTTTATCTAACCTGCTCTTAAAAACCTCCAGTGACAGAGATTCCACAACCTCCCTAGGCAATTTGTTCTAGGCAATCCTTAACTACCCTGATAGGAAGTTTTTCCTGATGTCCAACTTAAACCTCCTTTGCTGCAATTTAAGCCCATTACTTCTTGTCCTGTCCTCAGAGGTTAATGAGAACAATTTTTCTCCCTCCTCCTTATAACAACGTTTTATGTACTTGAAAACTGTTATGTCTCCCCTTGATCATCTCTTCTTCAGACTAAACAAACCCAATTTTTTCAATTTTTCATCCTAGGTCATGTTTTCTAGACCTTTAATCATTTTTGTTGCTCTTCTCTGGACTTTCTCTAATTTGTCCACATATTT